GGATCCGAGCCGATCCTGATCCCTATTGAATTTATTTTGAACCTAGGATCCGAGCCGATCCTGATCCATCCTATTGAATGTAAGTTAAACCTAGGATCCGAGCCGATCCTGATCCCTGCTATTGAATTTATTTTGAACCTAGGATCCGAGCCGATCCTGATCCATCCTATTGAATTTTAAATAAAAACTTGGATCCAGATGTGTTTGGGGGGAGGCCCCCGCCTCCTACAATTAATAGGGACCCATTTTTGTTTGGGGGGGGTCCCCCTCCACTAATCAGGACCCCACATTACGGAAAAACGACTTTGCCAATAAACGCAATCACTGCAGCCCAATACATTCTGTGCACTTCAGCACCACGGCCTTGAAAACAAAAACCAATGAATTCAAGGCTGGGAATGGGATGGACACTGAGCCAAACCATTTCAGCTTTCTCTTTTAAAAGCAACATCCGGAAATTGTCAGCTTGCGCTGTCGCTGATCCAAGAACAAACGGGCAAAATAAGCACAACTATGCTTCAATCATAGCGTGAACCGAGTCACTTGCGTGAATAATTTATTGCATCAAATCGTTGCCATGAGTAGCTGAGCAGGCCTGCGCACTGACTCCTGCAACGTTGGCCTCAGGCTCAGACTGCCCCCGGTTGTCCTGATAGGCTACGTGGGCGAGATTCATAAGCCACGGGCTGGGACCCAGCACGATGCATCTGGCTTCGGCCAGCCACCTGCAGTTTGGACCTTGGCAGACTCCACCCAACGCATTCTCCCGATGCCAGGCTGATGGTTGGTTTGTGGACTTGCGGGCAAAGTTTTGCAGGCGGGTCTACAGTAACGGTTAAGCTCGCAGCTGGGCACGCGGCACGCCCTTTTATTGTCCAGTTTTTCGCATCGTGCCCACAGCTTGTTGAGAAGAAGCCCAAAGCATTGTACAATCTTGTTTGTCTACTTTTACACTGTCTGCTTCGACGTCTGACTGAGCTAGCAGGCTGGCTCTTGCTCCTGTGAGATCTGGAAGATCTAGAGGACCTGCAGCTGGGACCGGATGCAGACTTACAAAGCAACATCATTCGACTGCAGGCCAGAGGCCTAAAAACAAGCTGCGAGACCTGTTGCCAACAGACTCTTCTGCAGGAGAATCGTCCTGTCCAGTCTGTGTTGGGGGATATGGCTGGTCACAAGGCAGTCAAGCTGATGCACTCTGTCCGGCCAAATGGCACATGAGATGCTGGTGGCGTAGGGCCTCAGGCTGATCAAGTTGTGCACGAGTCGTTCTCTGGGGTGGTCTTCTATTTACAACGGCCATAAATCTTGAGCTGTGCCATCTTGGCCATGTGACTGCCGCAAGTGCGGATATCGCACCAACATGCTTTCCGCCGTGGGCCCGTGGGCATAATCGATTCGGGAGCCACGGTTGAATTCAAAATGCATTCGCTGAATTGAAGTCAGATGAAGAGACTTCAAGAGCCTACGTCTCTCCTCTGTTTTGCGCTCTCTGTTTGAGTTATGCCAGCTGCAAAGCTTGCGCACGTCCAACAAGTCTCTTGCTCTACGCACTCAGAGAAGCTGTTACTCAGTCTTGGGCGGCACGCCCAGCTCTTCCCGTACGTTTCCATCCTTCGCACCAGCATAGGAGAATGAAGACGTGCTGGGACAGCTAACAAACCTGAGGTCCTTGGACTTCCGATTGCGCGGATGTTGCCGCTCCGTGCTTAAGACCTGAGCTGCTCTGCTTTGTGATTTGTAGTCCAAGCTGTCGCTGGGACTATGCAAACCCCCCCCCGACTGCGCTTCTGTGCGGTGGCACCGGTTGCCAGGCATAAAAATCTGATTCTGCAACCATTACCTATCGCTCCCTGGCATGAGCATCCAGACAGATCGATCCGCATGGGCGCAATATGCTGCAATCTCAATGAGTACTTCCTGCTCTGTTGTCTCCTTCTCTCCTTGTGTGGGCTAGCGGCCAACTTCATTAACACTGTTTTCTGGAATAACTGAGCCTGGATGGCAACGCATCGACTTAAGCAAGTCGACATTATCGCAGAAAGGGGACTCCTCTCCTGCTGGTAGGCAGTTTGTGTTTTGAGGTTGCCTAGCCGCGGGGGATGCAAATAGCCATCCGCTATAGCACGAAAGCCATTTCGGGAGCTCTTCTCGTCAGGAAATGAAAATTATGCAAGTTCTCGCGGAACATAGGAGCATGGTTTTGCTTCTCTATATATATATATACATATATGAGGGATGTCCAACATTCCTTCATCTCGAGTTGGGGGCTTGCGCCGTGTTTGCGCGAGTCAGCGCGCACAGTTTGGCTCAAATTTGTCGCGGTGGAGCCTCATCACATTGATAAACTGAGACGGCTGATGCTGCTATGCTGCATAAATTGCTTGGCTCGCCAGCAAACAACCACTTCTGCTGCTGTTGCTGCTAAAGATATTCAGGGAGCCAGAATGGGCCAGAGGCTTTCAACAGTTACGTGTGCTTTCGAAGAGCTTGCTCGAAGCTTGCGCAGATTTTGAAGTTTCGCTGTTGTCGTCATGGCTTTCAGCCACACTTCAGTAGTCAAACCCTTGCGCCGACCCTTGTGCGTGCTAATTTCTTTAACAGATTTATACTGGGGTTTCATCCGTATAAATGGTAGGCAAGGGTCTTCGGACAACCCTCACGTGTTACAAAAAATTACAAAAACAACTCTTCCGTGAAAGCCTTCCGCCGCGCTTCCGCAAAACTTCTTCGCTGGATTTTGGTTCTGGCTTCTGCGAGAGAAGGCCTCGAACACTGCCGCTCAGATTCCCAGATGCGGAGCCTGTGTGAAGACACAGGCTTCCGCGAACCTTCCACGAAAAACTGCTTCTGCGGACCTTCCACTGCCTGACGCGCGCGAAGGAAAGCCTTGTTTTGCGGATGGCACTTCTATCGGTTATTGCGCCAATCCCTTTTTATTTTCTTTTTAGCATAAACACTGAGCCGCGGCTCATATGCCAAGGAAGCAGCCATTGGCGCATCATCAGCTCGCTCTGCTGCAAGCTTGTTGATTGGGCCGCCGTGTCCGTCCTCAGCGCACGGTAGCGGAAGGGCACACATGGAACCGCGTTAATAGTTACAGCTATTACAAATGGGCCAGGACCAAGTCACGACACAACGTAACACACAACTCTCTTTTTGCATGGAACCGCTTGCCAACATGCGTAAGATGATACACAAGAGTTTGCTTTCGGGCTATTGCAACATGAGTCGCCAGAATAGTCTGAATCGCCACCTGGCCAAACCCAGCTCACGAAAGTGGAACCCAGTTTGAAGGGGATCAAGGGGACCGGAGACGAGACGGGACGGCGAAATAGAAAAAGGCGAGCATTGAAGTGAATGTCCTTTGTGAATTTTCCGTCCACACAAAGCCAGGCAGGGCTGAAAGATGTTTTTGTTGCTTGCTTGCTGCCTTCCATGTTGCCCTCACCACTACTACTACTACTACTACTACGACGTCGTCGTCGTCGTCGTCGTCGTCATCGTCGTCGCGATGCTAATGGATCGCAGTGCCTTCGGGTTTGGATAAGTTCCCCGCAAAGTTGCAAAAGTACCGCGTTGGACAGTACTTCGTGGGTGTTGATTCATTGATGCCATGCACAGTTGAGGGTGTAAAAATACGGGGAACTACTTGTGGGTTGATTTGTCAGGATGATGACTGATCGTGATCGTATCTATGTGGCTTCGGAAGTTGCGGTCCAAATTTTGAAGAGGCCCAGAAGTGTTGTAAATTGCAAGACTTCATTCGCTTCGAGAATAACATTCGGACTGCTCGTGTAAAGTGTCAAGGAGTCCCTCGAAAGACGTAAAAGCTAGTAACTAGTTTTGGCCGGTTTTACGCTTTGCCAACCTTGAAGAGAACCGTCTTTGCAGAACAACCTCGCAAGACTTTTGTTCATCTCATCTTTGTTTGTTACGCTGGAGTGACAAGCCATAGAAATGGGCAGACGGCCTCTCCGAACTATCCCCATGGCGATTGGAGATGACCCCCGCGACAAACGGAATAAGATGTCAAAACACTTAACCAGAATGGTAACAGCACTCATTATCAATGGAGTCGCAAGCCAAACCAGTCCTGACCACCCTCAACATGTAATAGAGTCCCCAAACTTGTTTCTCAAACAGATACTGTATGCATTCAGCAGGTATCAAGAGAAACTTTCAGCGTGGCAGTGTGGCTCCAAGTTTGTTGCTAATTCTGGAAAAGTATCGTGCTCTATGATCCTTCGCAAGGGTCTTAAGGAGTCCTGTCCTGCTTTCTCGAGATCTTGTTATGAGCTAAGTTGAAGGCTCCTCGGCGGAAATCAGATGAGGGCTGTCGCTTTTGAGATGGGGTATCGCTTTCTCATGTAACTCGCTTAATCTTTAAAGCCGGGCAGGTATTGCTACAAGCCTGAATGACGTTTATCTTGAACATCGGATTTTCACAACCTCACTTCCAAACACAGCAGACCTGAACTGTCCTCGAACTAATACGTCCCAAGCCAACCTCTGAAACTTCTGAATCCGTTACTTCTAAAATCAGAAGTCTTATCCCCCCACCGCCCCAAACCCCACCCCCCACCCCCCCCACCAGCCCCCCCCACCCCACACTCACACAGAAGCATTTGGACCCACCGTCGACCTGAGGCGCGTAGAGTACCACTGCTGCTCCTCGTACTACTACTACTACTAGGCACGCG